CCGTGCATTCATGGAAGTTGTATCGATGGTAGGGCTGATTATTTTTGCAATTGTCAGCCGGAGTACGGGGGTAAAAATTGCTCAGTTAAACTCATCGGGTGTCAGGGTAATGCGTGTCAAAATGGTGGTACATGTTGGCCGTATTTGTTGAATGATACAGAGCACAGATTCAATTGCACATGTCCAAATGGCTTTCACGGTGATATCTGTAATCACGTAACGACCATGTCTCTGAGCGGAAGTTCTTATGTCATGGTAAATACCAGTAGAGACGAGGGATATGACATTCAGTTCAGATTCAGAACAACATTACCCAGTGGATTGCTGGCAATGGGCAAAGGTACGACTTTTTATATTCTCGAATTAGTCAATGGTAAACTCAATTTACATTCCAGTATATTGAATAAGTGGGAAGGGGTGTTTATCGGCAGTGAATTGAATGATGCCAAGTGGCAGAGAGTATTTGTTACTATCAATGCAACGCATTTGGTACTCTCGGCAAATGACGAACAGACGATTTATCCAATTAATCTTAATGAGAGCCCGTCAGTTTCACCAACGACATTTCCAACAACTTACGTAGGAGGTACCATAAGGTATCTGCAAAAATTAGCCCATGGACCACATCTGTTTGTGGGATGTGTTGAAGATGTTGTTATAAATGGTGAATGGATTTACTCTGGAATGGAGTCGGACTCTGTTCTGATGGATCGAATTGAGGCATCGTGTCCCAGAGAAGAGCAGTGCTCACCGAATCCATGCAAGGCTGGAGGACACTGTACAGACAGGTGGAGAGACTTCTTCTGCGAATGTGAGCGTCCTTATCTCGGTCATACCTGTCAATATAACATGACAGCTGCCACATTTGGCTATGAAAACATAACAAATGGCTACGTAACCGTTAAAGTATCGGATTCAGCTAGAAGAGCTGTTAGAACAATTGTCGATATATCGATGTTCATAAGAACTCGTCAACAGCGTGGTGATATTTTCTATCTCGGTTCTGAGCCAAACACACCATCTCAGCAATCGCAACAAGAAAACACATACATCGCTGCTCAATTGGAGGGTGGTGAGCTCCTAATTAGAATGCAATTTAATGAAACAGAAGCGTATACCGTTGGCGGTGTAAAACTCAATGATGGAAATAATCATTTGATTCAGGTTATCCGAAATATGACTCTTGTTCAAGTGAAAATCAATGGGACCGAGTATTTTAGAAAGACTATTAGCACAACGGGAGCCCTCAATGTGACTGTGTTGTATCTAGGAGGATTTCCTCAAACATCGAGATACATCAGACAAGTCGAAACAACGAGACAGACTTCATCCTCGATGTCCGATATGCAGGTGATGCCCCAGGTTAACTTCAAAGGAGTCATTCAGGATGTACAGATTTCTAATGGCATTGATAGTATGGTCGTTGAATTTTATCCTCTCAGAGCGAAGGATATACCTAAACCAATTCAATTTGGTAATGTGTCATTTGATAATGAGAAAGTACTTGCTGGAGTTATTTCTGATAATGTCTGTGATAGTAATCCATGCTTTCACAATGGCACGTGTCACGTTACCTGGAACGATTTTTGGTGTCAGTGTCCAAGAGGCTACACTGGTAAAACTTGTCAAGAGATGGAATTCTGTCAGCTCCAGGACTGTCCCGCTGGCTCAAAATGTCAGAATTTGGATGGGGGATATGAATGTATTGCTAATGCAACGTTCAATGGTAATGACACGTTATTCACTTACGTTTATGAGAACCAGATGTTGAATAAAAATTACAGCGATGTGTCACAGGTGAATATCGAAACTATTGAAATCAATTACAGATCGAATTTAGGTGGCACTTTAATGCACATATCTCAGTTCTCCACTTCTGTCAAATCAGAATGGACAGATAGATATTTTAGTATATCAGTTTACAAAGATATTGTCACTGTTTCGTGGAGACTGTCAAGTGATCACAATCAGGACACTATGACATTTGGCAAGGAACAACCTGATGGCAATTGGACCTCAATTATTATTCGATTGAATAGTAATTCGTTGATATGTGGATACAAAAATGGAATAGATGAAGTGCCAATGGAGAGTGCCAGCTCGAGATTCAATTTTTCCGAGTGGTATGAATTGCTGGCATCTGGTACAGTGACACTCGGTGGCTCGTTCCCTAATTACTGGAACATTAACAGCTACATAACGGACAACAGCTCATTATCCAAAGGAATTAACGGTAATAGTGTTGATTTGATAACTGAAAGAAAATTTGTACTTACAACACCAGTGCCAATGCAGGAAATAATATCAGGTGGATCGTTCAAGGGATGTCTTGGTGAAGTTAGAATAGGCCAAATGCTCCTCCACTATTTCACTTTTGATCAAGTATATGGAAATGCTAATTTCACACCAGTGGAGTATCTATCACTGCAAATTGATAACAACAATAACAACACGATGAATGAAAATAAAAGCAGTAACATCGGGTGTCGATTGTGTTTTGAATATGATTGCCAGAACAGCGGCCACTGTCTGGACGAATTAAACAGTTACATCTGTAATTGTCCAGCTGGTTATACCCAGGACGACTGCTCAGAGGATATTGATGAATGTCTCGATAATAATTGCCAGAATAATTCAACCTGTGTCGATGGAATAGCCAATCACACGTGTATCTGTAACAAAGGCTGGCAGGGTTGGCTCTGCGATAATGACATCAATGAATGCGTTACAAACAGTCCATGCCAGCACGATGGAGTCTGTGTAAATCTGCCAGGCTCATTCAGGTGCGAATGTCCAGATCAATTCACTGGTGATCTCTGTCAAGACTTCAGACTCATAACGTGTGAGAATAATCCATGCAAAAATGGCTCAACTTGTACTGATATTGTTAATAAAAAAACCGGTGATAATTTCACGTGCACTTGCATGCCAGGATATGAGGATACCCTCTGCGAGACACCTTATTGTATTGCTAACAATTGTCAAAATGGTGGCAGATGTGATTTCTTATATCAGGCGCCACAGTGCACCTGTCCCTTAGGCTTCACTGGGGCATATTGCGAGATAAATATTGATGATTGCGCTGTCGATTCCGAGGGTAATGTACCGTGTAAAAATGATGGGTTGTGCATTGATGGGATAAATAGCTTCAGTTGTAATTGCACTGGTACTGGTTATACTGGAGCTGATTGCAGTATTGATGTTGATGAATGCGCATCAAGGAGTACAGACTGTGGATATGGTAGATGTGTTAATCTTCGAGGTAGATATCAGTGTGATTGTGAAATAGGATTTTGCGGAGCTGATTGTAAAATGCTTGATCCATGTAACGAGGATATGTGCATGAATGGTGGTACGTGTGTGTGTAATGAAAATAGCGGATACGTTTGTCAATGTGTCGATGGATATATTGGGCAGAATTGTACCGAGTCAGAGCATCTGTTGGGCAGTCCAGCGTTGGGTATTGCTGTTATTGTCGGTCCAATTGTAGCTATTTTATTGCTCATTGCTATTGGCTCTTTAACGGCATTCTTTATGATGGCTAGGAAAAAAAGGGCTACCAGGGGAACGTATAGTCCTAGTGCACAAGAATTTAGCAATCCGAGGGTAGAGATGGATAACGTTATGAAACCACCGCCTGAAGAGAGATTGATATAAATTTTATTCGATTCAATTCCATCGAAACATGTGCGCTATGTTATTTTTGGCCAGTTGAAATTACTTATTCGTTACTTTATAATCGAATTAATGTATTAATCATTGTTTTCCCCGTGTCTGTTGATACTCAATGGTATTGTAGTTTTTTTTTCATTTTTGTTGTTTGTCCGACTAGTCGAAAGTCCTGCTCATCTGTAAGACACGGTGTAATTCTATCTTTTTTCAATGTCATTAAGAATTTTTTT